ATAAATAGTACCCCTCCTACCAGCACAAAAGTGTGCAGTCGTACACATGTGTGCACTGTGTGCGGCCGCACACACATGTGTGGCAGCACACATTACAAGCCCAATACAAGCACTGTTGCAATACACACTCAGACATCCGGAATAGATCTATACAAAAATTATGACTAGCTCAAACCACAAAATTATGGACTTTCAATCTCCCCCTTGGTTTGAGACTAGCATATTCTTGAACTTCATTCGTTTGGCTTCTCAGCAAACTTCTCAAAGAACCTCAGATCTGATCTCCCCATCGATCCCATCCACAATCTTCCATTTATGATCGTAGCCACCATTGCAGTGAATTATTTAGTAGCAGCTTCCATGACATCTTTTCTGCAAATGATTTGATGATGGGCCAGAGTTCGTATATCCCTTTCTCTGAAACGAAGAAGATCTTTAGCATTAATCAATGATATGTGCATAATTAGTTAATTATTTAGTATATATTTTTATTCATTTTTAACTAGTTATGTGAATAATATGGACAAAAGGTACTTAATATCGTTTGAATTTTGTTTTCAGTCCAAAAGATATGCTTGGGAGTAAAAGGGAGCAAGGGAAAACAATTAAAGACCAAAGAGTGAAGATTGAGGAACAGAATGATACCTACTCGGCGAGTACACGCGACTACTCGGCGAGTCCTACTGAATATTCCAGAAGATAACTACGTTTCCTGATCTTAGACGGATAACAACGAGTCTACTCGGCGAGTTGGGTCTGCTACTCGCCGAGTACCCCCTGTTTTGAGATATCTATAAAAATCGGACCTTTATCCGAGGAGAGGGGACTTTTGGCGATTTTGGAAGATCCTTCTGCGATTAGGAGCACCAGAAGACGTTGAGGAACCCTAATTTTCAACCTTTCGAAGAATTGAAGCAACTAGGTTAATCATTCCACTTAAGCTTAGGATTTGATGATGTCTAATCTAGTTGAGTTTGTTTCTATGTTTGTTTCTACTGCAACTATGAACTAATTTCGTTTTTGTTTCTGTTTGGGGAATACCAAGGAACTCCTATGGTTTAATCCTTAACTTTGATTAATTGTTTATTGGTGATTCATTAAATTAAGTTTGTTAAAGAACCTTATGCATTAATCATTACTATTTTCTGTTAATTGGAAGACAATTAGGCTGCATGAACATCTATTAGTTGTTAACCTCATATGTCTATGTGAATACTAAACCATATGCTTAGAAGTAATGATTATGAAACTAAGATTAATAAGACAATAGGAAGATTAATGTGTGAGCTTGCTTGAGAAACCATCAAACAAGAGGTTAATTTAATTAATAACTTCATTGACCATTACAAATCTTATTTAATCCAAATCATTAATCTAGGGAATTAATTAGTTTAAACACTTGATCACCGCTTAAATTAGTTAATTGTCTAAGGGTTAGGAGTAATGAACATGAACCTAACCATTTTAATTGGTAACCAATAGCAATTAATCTATCATAAACACAAATAACCATAGTAGTGAATTGGTTGAACCTAAATAGAAACATCTTTATCAAACTTGGTGAATAGTTGTTGCTTTAGTTATTTAGTTAATTTAGTGTGCCTAAGTTTCTAGTCTTGCAAAACTAGAAGAAAACCCTTTTACTTTTATTAGTTGTTTAGTTAAAATTAGTTATTAGTTTAATTTTCCGTTCCCTGAGTTCGACACCTTACTTACTAATCTATACCACTAAAAGACAGGTTCACTGCCTTTGTGTGTTTAATTTATTAATTAAAGTAGGGATAAAACAAGTGCATTTTACACACATCAAGTTTTTGGCGCCGTTGCCGGGGAACGGTTCTAAATAGTTATTTTTATTTGCTAATTGTTATTATTTTTTTATTTGTTGATTAATTTTTTTTATTTAGTTTAATTTTTTATTTATATTTTTTTATTATTTTTTTTATTTAGTTCGACATTGTTCTGAGAAGAGATCTACTCGCCGAGTCCACGATATTACTCGCCAAGTACTCTGCCAATTTTCAAATTCCAGAAGTTGCTTTGGGCACTTTCACTGCTACATTTACATATTTTTTTGGGAGGAATTGTTCCTGGAGATGTTCTAAAGAAGCTTGTTCCTTTAAAATTTTCAAGTTATCAACCACACGAGATTTGACACCCAAGGAATGGATGTGCTGTTCTCATGCCAAAGTCAGCTGAAGTGGGAGCCTTAAAAGAGAGTGATCAACCTATCCACTGCTATCCCGGGGAGTTTGTTCCAATTCCCTCTTTAGTTTCTTTTTATGTTTTTATGCATAATATCCAATGAGGGCATTGCATAAAATAAGTGTGGGGTAGGGGGTTATCACATAAATAGAAAATTTAGAATCTTAATTTAGGCTAAATTTAAAAATTTTGCATATCAAAAGTATTACTTAGGATTTAATTTAGAAAATTTTGGTAAAAGAAAAAAGTAGGATTCCATATTTGAGTTGTGTTGATAATTGCATGAAAACCCAAATGTTTAGTTGAGCCTATATACGTTCTAGTGCATTTGTGGCTTCCTTATTCCAGTGAAATCATGGGACAAAAACACAACCCTGCTCAGCCCGAGGGATGCAATATGTTTAGCAGCCTAAACCTGAAATGTATCCAGGAAAATTGTTATCGTTAGCCAATAAAGGTTGAGATTGAGCGCCCCTGCTTAAGCATGTAGGGATTTGAGTGGAAAAAAAGTGAGTTACATGTAAAAAAAAAAAAAAAAAAAGGGAATTACAAGAAAAGTTTGAAGAATTTTGGAGCAATCAAAGTAAAGATCAAAAGATCAAAATTCAAAGAAACTCAAAAAGTTGAAGATACCAAAAATCAAACAACAAGGTGGTGAATTCAAAGAAATTGAAGATCAAATGTTAAAGAAGTGAAGAATTCCAAAAGAGCTCCAATGTGGTATCAAAAAGTTGTAATTCTAGATTATGTATGCTTGGGTTGCTCAATTAAAAACACCTTGAGGGTAAAGAGGTTTTCTGAGGATGGATTCGGAGGGTTGCATAAAATGAGCATAGTTTAGGATGAGTGGGCAAGTGTTTATGAGGATTGTGAGTATTTGGAGTATGGGAGGTCCTTAGGAAAAAATTTTAGACACAAATGCATGCGTTGCGGTCTTGGCATAATGGCTGGGTTAGATTGGAGTTGTCATATGTGATTCTAATATGTTTAAAATTTAGTTTTGCTTGGGGGCAAGCAAACGTCAAGTGTGGGGTATTTTGATATGTGCATAATTAGTTAATTATTTAGTATATATTTTTATTCATTTTTAACTAGTTATGTGAATAATATGGACAAAAGGTACTTAATATCGTTTGAATTTTGTTTTCAGTCCAAAAGATATGCTTGGGAGTAAAAGGGAGCAAGGGAAAACAATTAAAGACCAAAGAGTGAAGATTGAGGAACAGAATGATACCTACTCGGCGAGTACACGCGACTACTCGGCGAGTCCTACTAAATATTCCAGAAGATAACTACGTTTCCTGATCTTAGACGGATAACAACGAGTCTACTCGGCGAGTTGGGTCTGCTACTCACCGAGTACCCCCTGTTTTGAGATATCTATAAAAATCGGACCTTTATCCGAGGAGAGGGGACTTTTGGCGATTTTGGAAGATCCTTCTGCGATTAGGAGAACCAGAAGACGTTGAGGAACCCTAATTTTCAACCTTTCGAAGAATTGAAGCAACTAGGTTAATCATTCCACTTAAGCTTAGGATTTGATGATGTCTAATCTAGTTGAGTTTGTTTCTATGTTTGTTTCTACTGCAACTATGAACTAATTTCGTTTTTGTTTCTGTTTGGGGAATACCAAGGAACTCCTATGGTTTAATCCTTAACTTTGATTAATTGTTTATTGGTGATTCATTAAATTAAGTTTGTTAAAGAACCTTATGCATTAATCATTACTATTTTATGTTAATTGGAAGACAATTAGGCTGCATGAACATCTCTTAGTTGTTAACCTCATATGTCTATGTGAATACTAAACCATATGTTTAGAAGTAATGATTATGAAACTAAGATTAATAAGACAATAGGAAGATTAATGTGTGAGCTTGCTTGAGAAACCATCAAACAAGAGGTTAATTGAATTAATAACTTCATTGACCATTACAAATCTTATTTAATCCAAATCATTAATCTAGGGAATTAATTAGTTTAAACACTTGATCACCGCTTAAATTAGTTAATTGTCTAAGGGTTAGGAGTAATGAACATGAACCTAACCATTTTAATTGGTAACCAATAGCAATTAATCTATCATAAACACAAATAACCATAGGAGTGAATTGGTTGAACCTAAATAGAAACATCTTTATCAAACTTGGTGAATAGTTGTTGCTTTAGTTATTTAGTTAATTTAGTGTGCCTAAGTTTCTAGTCTTGCAAAACTAGAAGAAAACCCTTTTACTTTTATTAGTTGTTTAGTTAAAATTAGTTATTAGTTTAATCTTCCGTTCCCTGAGTTCGACACCTTACTTACTAATCTATACCACTAAAAGACAGGTTCACTGCCTTTGTGTGTTTAATTTATTAATTAAAGTAGGGATAAAACAAGTGCATTTTACACACATCAATCAATCTCAAAACCTGTTCTCGATTCTTGAATTTGATAGCTGCAGTTGCAGTTTCGTCATCATATCCCTCATGAAAATGTTGAGGAATAGGAATTTCCTTCTGTTTCTTATTTGCAGGCCAGAGTATGATCTTCATGGGTTTGCCTGATTCTGGATCAAGAACATCTTTGTCTTTTCTATATAGATCTTTTGCAGTCTTCATTGATGGAAAGTTTTCTCTGACCTGTCTGTCGAGAAATGTTTTGAAATTCGAAGCACTAGGATTTTTGGAGGGATTGTGGAATGGGGCCCTGGATAATTCGGCTAGATCAGTTTTGGTCCAAGAGTTGAAATCATGGGTGCTTTTGTAACATTCAGATGCTCCTGATTTTCGCTTTACAATGCACAAATTCGTCACTAGATCAAAGGCCCACATTCGGATACTTGTCCTGTCACCATATTCGTCGCCAAACTTTCTTTTCTTCAAATCCGTTACTATTAAAACAGGGTCTTTTGCTTTGCGAATTTCATTGGAATTTTTCATGAATAAAAGACCTTCTTGTTGATTTGCAGTTACGATTCTGTTGCCCTGTTTGATTGTGATTTTGGCTCTGCTTCCTTCAGGTTCTTTTTCAAACCTGTTGACAATTTTAGTTGTTCTCGGAGCAGGTGGGTTGACAGGTAGATCATCAGTTGCAGGAGGTGATTGAACAGAGGGAGGATCAACTACTCCATGAGGCTGTTGGAAGAGGGCTTTGACTTTTTCACCAAAAGCATCGTACAACACGTTCTTGAGATTGAAATAATTAGCTAGAACAGATCCAAGACTCGTTTGTAGATCATTGATTTGTTTGTTCTTTTCTTCATCCTTCGCCCTGAGCTCAAAGATGTATGGAGAAAGCTGATCCATCTGAATTGATTTTTCGATGAGCTCTTGACGGAGAATCCCAATCTCCTCTCGAAGATCAGGCGAAGAAGATTTGTCATCACCTGTTCGACCCTCCTTGAATGATATTCCTTTTCCGCGTGAGGAAGATGGACTAGATAGAGCCAGATGTTTTACTAATCTAATAGAAGCTTCATCAAGAGAAGGTCGAGTTGGAGAATATTCTGGAATGGATGAGGATCCACCAGTCTCAAATATGGTACTTGGAACTTCATCTGTTTGCTTTGGAGGAGAGTAAGCAGAGGTAGCAGTGATTGTTGAAAGGACTTGAGGAGCACATCTTACAGCAGGTACCTTCAGACTTACAAGAGGTTGGCTTGTTTTTATGGAAGTCTGAGGTTCAGTTGAGTCAGAACTGACTGGATCAGAAATTGAGATAAGTGGCACGGAGGGAGGAATCTCTGATGTCACATCTCCTTGGCTTGGTGCGATCTCCAAGGGCTTCGAAGTAATGAGTAGAATCTTGAAAACATTTCCTTCATCTCTAGTCTTGGTTGCTAAAGAAGCAACTTCATTGACTTTATTAACATGGCTGTTGGGAATATCAAGAAAAGGATCAAAATCTTCATCACCAAGGTCAAACTCTATGTTTGTTGGAATGGCATCATCGATTCCCGTAAAGTCGATTTCGTTTAAAAACTCCACATCTTCATAAAGATCATCGTCATCATCCTCTCGAGAAGATTTTGAATCATTTGTTTTCTGATTATCATTCTCATCAGCTACATAAGCTGTGGGAGAGTCATGAATCTCCTCCACTTCAGGCTCGGAGGGAGAGTGAGAAATATCTTCATTTTCCATCGGCATGGATTGTTCTTCTGATTCTTCTCTAACATCCTCTTTAAAAATTCCAAATTTTATTAATGGAAATTTTCCCTCAAATACGAACTTCCCGCCTCTCTTTTGTTTCATTAGTCCAAAGGCACTTGGACCAATGGATTTGAAATCCAGAGTATCATTTCCTCTTTGCAGCTCGGGGTGAGTTACGTTAAGGATGATTTGTAAAAATCTTGGATACATCCAAAATTTGTCTCTTTTTCTCGCTTCAAGATTTAGTATTATTTCATTCATTATAAATTTTGAGAAATTGAACTTAAAACCTGCCGCCAATGCTGCAATGGCACCGGTGTTGGCCAGAGAAATCTCGTTTGCTCCTGATCTCCGGCTGGAAATGCAGCTCACGAACACATGAGCCAAGTACTTCCAGCAAGGAGGAAGCAGCTTCTTAATTGTAGGAGGAAAAGTTCCCTCGTATCACATATGCTCTAATACTTCCTGAGTTTGCTGAACATCAATCTCCATGGGGTACTCAGGTCTGTCCTCAATTTGGAGAGATTCTCTAATGATGCTTTCTGTTACTTGAATTTTCTTGTCTTCAATTGTTGCTTCAACAAAATTTTCACCTTGACCATTCTTCTTTACAACAGCATTCCTCCAGAATTCCTTAATCAAACTTCGGTAGATAGCAGGACTTGTAGTTAGAGCATGAACCAAACAGGATTTCTTCAAGCCATCTACAATGAATTTCAAGTCATTGTGGACTGCATGAGGGTCTTCAAGAAAAATTGCAGAATTATGAGCTTTAGCAAACTCCATGTCTCCTATTTTAATCTGAAAGTCAACACACAAAGTTATTAGGACAAAACAATTGAAAAAGAATGAAGCCGCACACGGGATTACACACAGCCGCACACGTGCAAGTGTGCGGCCGTAACCGCACATCCACAAAAATATGCAGCCGCACACGGTCAGCCGCACACGCCTGTGTGCGGCCGCACACACCGTGTGTGGTTATATTCGAATACAAACAATTTTGATGAAGATCCAACAGCAAACAATGGAAATTTTTACCGAGTTCATAAGAATTTACCGAGTCAAAGCTTTGATTTCACGAGAAATTTTTGGAATTAAGAATGAGTTATAGAGAGAATAAGTGTGCATGTGCGGTTGTGGCAAAAGTAAATGACGGTGAAAAAGGCTCACCGCACACACGCTATATATATATGCACAAAATTTACAACTTCTCCCCCTTATCTTTTAATCATTAACGCTGATGCCCCTTTCACTCACCATTTTCTCAAAATGAATTATTTTGAGGATTAATGTGAAATTAATTTCAAAATTTCTAATAAACTAAAATTTATTATTAGAATTAAAAATAAAAAAATAAAAAATAAAAAATAAAAAATAAAAAATAAAAAATAAAAAAATAAAAGTAAAATAAAAAATTAAAATAGAGTAGAATAAAAATTCGAAGTATTATTAACGACAAGGAATAAACAATTCAATTTAAGCCTATATAAATTGTTTTAACCTATTAAAATTTTGGGATCAAAGTTTTTTAGACAGCCATTATCCGCTTGTCGGTACCTTTCATATTCACATCTTTGTCTGGTCGATTGTCGGTATTGTTGTCCACTTAAACACGAAAAATTTTGACAAAATTGGGACACACTATGAGTGACAAGACAATGTGATCCTATATTCCTAGATAATATATTTAAGTTTCTAGATACTATATCTTAAGGACCATTCAACTGACGACGACCAGGGATATTGTTGTCCACCTAAATTGAACAGCGAGATCTATAGACAATCTTTGAGTGTTCAATTTTAATTGTACTGGAACATGTTTCCCACTTCCTGATATTCCCCAGTAATCAAAGACTTCCAGAGTACTCCTTACATCGGGTGATCAGACCATCATTAGGAGAGAAGATAGATTCAGATTATTATCACTTATAGTTTTAGAGGGATTGAGAAGTAGAAGGTTGCATATGCTGTGTACCAGGTCGGATTGTTAGTCACGCAAAGGAGACAACATATGGCTAACAGATTAGAAGAATTTCATAGATATAATATGTAGAGAAATAGATTTGCATATGTTGCAGTCCAGGTCGGATCTCTTCCAATCACGTAGAGGAGGCAACATATGACTAACAGTAAGAAAGAAAGAAAATAATTTTCTACAGACCTAATTCATCTGAATTTACCAGTCACCCCATCAATACCGGAATTAAGGACAGAATCCGCACATCGAGGAAAAGTTAAACCACGGTTCCAGATACGGGTTCATTTAATGTGATGAGTAGATTCCCATATATATCTCCATGCTCAACCTATCCAAGCGTCGTATTGTCAGGCTGAACAGAACTAACTAGGTCAAGATTTATCAAGTCTCTAGATTCCTTAAGTTCATCTGCACCTAGTCAAGTCTGTTAAATTCTTCGTGCCTACCGACGCATCAAACCAGAGCATAGACCCTTCAACTTCGGGTATGTTACACAGACTCAGATTGCCTGTTATCACTCACTTCCCAAAACATCTCCCTCAAGCACATTCCATAATCATCATATTATTTTTTAATTTTTTTTTATTTTTTAAAATTTTCTAATTTTTGTTTTGTTTTTATTTCTCCTCCTAAATTTGTGCATAGGAGAGAAACGAAAGTAAATGTGCAAATTTAAACTATCCTAAAAAAAAAATTTGTCTTTAAAGTGAATCAGCTTAAGAAAAACTCAGGAGTATAGAGAAGAAAACTCAAACCGTAAGTCACCGATTGAATTTGCATCCAGAAGGTCTGAGAATAGCATGTGTAATCTCAGAACAGATCCGAAAATTCTTCATGTCATTAAGCACAAACCCCGTGAGTGATCACTTCCTTTCTTCCCTTCCTGCAAAGGACACATACTCTCAAACAAATGTCTGAATGTTGTACAGTTGAGAGATGTCCCCTATCAAGTGCCAGGAATAGCCACTACCAACAAACCGAAGTCTGATGATATGCCTCCATAGCTGCTCCGACACAGAGCGGGATCAGTTGGTCTTTGGAACCCAATCCATTTTGAAACTGGATCGACCATTGTCATCTTTGCATGATACTCTCTCCCATGACATGTCCTGCTTATCACAAACAGAAGATGTAAAAATATTAGAAGCGTTAGAAGATTTGGGAGAGTGAGCCTTTGGAACCCATTTGTAGTTGGGTTTAACCCATTTCCTTTTCGATCTGATGGGTGGCTCAGTACTTGCTTTTGAACTCGAAGTTGGCCGTTGAGATGACTTTGATTTTGACTTCATGGGAGCATCTCTTGGATTTGACTTCATGGCCGACTTTCCCTTCTTGTTCTTGGGAGTTTGATTCTTGGCCTTGTTGGTTTGATTCTTGGCCTTCTGGGCATTCCAGTCGCTATTGTCTGAATGTGGCCTAGAGGGGTTTCTTTTGAAGTATCTCCCTCTTGGCATGTTCTGCCACCCTTGTGCATAGTAGGGAATGTATGCGCGATTTGGACAATTTCTAGCAATGTGTCCAGGTGTTCCACAGTGAAAACATGTCTTTTTCTTCATTGTGGATTTGTTTCTTCCTGCCCCTGGTGGCGTATCTTTGCCTTGTCTCTTGTTGTTCCTACAAGCACAATTGCAACAGGCCGTCGGCTTCGCTTGTTTTGGAGGCCTATATTTCTCAAAAACAGGTTGATCAGAAACAACCGAGTTCGAAGCAACAGATTCAAAGTTCAAGGAGTCATTGGATTGTTCAATAGTTTTCTCCTTGTTCTCATCTTCTGCTACTTTACCTGCACATGAAGTAGAAGCATTAGTATCGTTCAGCTCAACACTCTCAATTGGCCCTGATTGTTCAGTCTTAACTGAAGCTGAAGCAAGGGTTTGCCATACTGAGCATGCATTTCTTCCTCATTGGTCTCAAGGGGTGGGTTATAGTTGTGATTGAAAGGTGGAGGAACACAATCGTACCCTAAACCCTTGTTTTGATTATCTTTGAATTTTAATTGGTTTTCAAATAATGACTCGACTGTCTTACTTGACGCAGTGTAATTTTTGAAACTAATATTTGTTTTTCTACACTTAATGTTCAAAGCATCAAGTTCTTCAGTTACAGCAGCAAGTTTGCGTTTAATGTGATCGTAATTTTCACACTTGTTGTTGTACTCTTGCTGAAGCTTCCTAAAGTCTTTGGTTTTTTCTTCTAGTTGTGCTTTTAACGGTTTCTGACCTTTCCTTAGAGTATAGCCTTCATATTTAAGGTCCTCATTTTCCCTTTTTAGCAAATCAATTTGTTCGCGAAGAAGTTTAATTGTAGCTTTACAAGATGGAGTACATAAAACTTGATTTACCGGAATTGATGTGGAACTCATTTTCCTTTTTTTATTTATTTTTTTTTATTTTTATTTATTTATTTATTTTTTTAACATTTTTTAATTGCCCTTTAACTTAAAAACCAAGAAAGTCAACCTTAAAAGTCAAATTTAAAAAGTCAAACTCAAAAGTCAAAATCAAAAGTCAAACTTAAAAGTCAAACCGAAAAGCCAAATTTGAAAAATTAAAAGTCAAACGAGAAAGTCAAAATTTAAAGTCAAAGGTCAACTTTTAAAAGTCAAAGTCAAAATTTTAAGCAAAAAGTCAAAAATAAAAGTCAAAAGTTAAAAATAAAATCAAAAAATAAAAACTAAAATTTTTGGGTTGAAAAAGGATTTTAAAAAATAAAATTTTGAATTTTTGGGCTGATTTTGTCAAATTTCGAAAGTTTGGAATCGAATGGGAGTCTTTAAGAATAAAAAGCGGGAGTTAAGAAACAAGACGCAGTCTAAAGGCTGCTGAGCGAGGACTAGAGCTGTGAAGCCGAGAACGATGCTGCTGAGCCGTGAACCAGAGGCGAGACTGAGCCGTATACCGAGGCCGCACACGGAGCCGCACACCGAAACCCTAGCCGCACACCGAGCCGCACACTGCTGATCCGTACACATTGAGCCGTATACTCCGAGCCGCACACACTGAGCTCTGATACCAAT